ACTTTGCTCGGGAGACTAGTAAGTCTCAGGATGATGACAGTTTGAAAACTGCGAAAGAATGACTAAGACATTAATGAAGAGGGAGCAATTAGAATGAGAGTAAATAAGTATGAGTAAATAAGCCAGAAATGTCAAAACAGATTGTAAGACCTTATATAAGCATGCAAAAAGGAGGGGAGCAACTAGAATAAACTCCCGTTATTGAGAAGGCAAACTGATGTATTTCTCAAAGAGGTCAGTACAGAATTTGATGCAGTGTATTTTATTCCAACACTTGCAAATCAGTTCAATCTCGATTAGCATGGGAGGGTGAGCCAGTATTCACTCCTCAAACAGAAACAGATTAACATTTTTGTTTGCTGGGGAGGATCCTGCTGTGCACACTTGCTGCCACACAAATGCTGACAGCACATTGAACTTGAAGGTAGACCACCCAAAGAGGTTTCTGGCTGAAGTATTTGTGCGATACAGAGTGAAGTGGGGAGAGGTGGCGAGGTGGCCAGGTGGCCGGATAGGGAAGGCAGCGATATTGAGGGATCACTGAGCAATAATATTCTGTCTCTCTCACCCACAGTCCAGGCAAGTGAACCGAGCCAATAAGAATGAAGTGAAGGAGGCGAATCGCTACTACTTAATCGAAGCCTGCATGGCTCTGTTGCTGTCATTCATCATCAATGTCTTTGTGGTCTCAGTGTTCGCTGAGGCTTTCTATAATAAGACCAATGCACAAGTGGTGAGTGTCAGATGTAACACACCCTGTCAGGGACACGTGGTGCTCCTAAGTGGTGCATCCCCTCCAGTACGCTGGCACAGTAGTTTCTTTGGAAATGTGGTAGATTGCCCATAACCATGAGTTTGGTACATTCCAGTCCCAGACATTCATCGCCAGTTTCTCCAGGCAGAACCCCGTATCCCACCAAACAAGACCATTTGCTTTATTTATCGATTATAATTACATTCGGAAGATACTTGGGAGCAATGTACACTGTATGACAAATTACTACTAGTGATGGCTGTCATTGAAGAATAAGGAAATGGATGAGCTGAGCAATTAGTTTTGATTTGATTTATTATTGTCCCATGTACGGGTATACAGTGAAAATTATGGTTCTGCAGAGACAAGGTAGTAAAGAAAGTGTTTGGTACGCTTGCCTTTATTGGTCAGTGCATTGAGTACAGGAGTTGGGAGGGTCATGTTGTGGCTGTACAGGACATTGGTTAGGATACTTTTGGAATACTGCATTCAGTTCTGGTGTCCCTGCTACAGGAAGGATGTTGTGAAAGTTGAAAGGGTCCAGAAAAGATTTACAAGGATGTTGCCACTGTTTGACCTATAGGGAGAAGTTGAATAGGCTTGGTTTATTTCGCTTAGAGCATCGAAGAGTGGGGGTGACCTTCTAGACATTTTTCAAATCATGACAGGCATGGATAGGGTGAATAGCAAAGGTCTTTTCCCAAGGGCAAGGGAGTCCACAACTAGAGGGACATAGGTTTAAGGTGAGAGGGGAAAGATATAAAAGGGACCTAAGGGGCAACTTTTTCACGCAGAGGGTGGTGCGTGTATGGAATGAGCTGCCAGAGGAAGTGGTGGAGGCTGGTACAATTACAACATTTAAAAGGCATCTGGATGGGTGTATGAATAGGAAGGGTTTAGAGGGATATGGGCTAAATGCTGGCAAATGGGACGAGATTAATTTATGATATCTGGTTTGAATGGACGAGTTGGACCAAAGGGTCTATTTCTGTGCTGTATACCTCTATGACTCTAAGTCATACCTTACATAAGTACATCAGGGTAATAGAACAGAAAGCAGAATATAGTGTTTCAGCTACAGAGAAGTTGCAAAGAAAGATCAACTCTAATATATGAGAGGTCCATTCAAGTCTGATAATGTTTACAGAGGAAGAAATGAGCTTGCCAGAGCACCTGAGGGAATTCTTTGTACAGTTGTGAATGGGAACACAATAAAACATAGCAAGATAATAGTCATGAAGAAAGTATTGGCAGGAAAGAATGCCAAGTCCCCAGGATCAGATGTTTTCCATCCCAGGGTTTTTAAAGGATGTAGGTGACAAAATTTTGAACCCCCACTTCCAATTTTCCAAGGTTCTCTCAATTCAAGAACTGTTTATTTCGATTAGAAAAATGCACACATCATTCCACTATTTATTAAAGTTGAGACTGTCATGACTGAGGCTGGAGGAGTACCCCATCATTCCAATCCCACTTCCATACAGGCACAATGTAAAATATAAATACGTTTTCCAGTTACCAAGGTGATCATTTAAGTACCTCATCTATATCCTGTTTAAACAGTAAAGATCTATCAACCAGTTTTCTTAAATGCACGATTATTGGTTTATTATTAAAACAAAGATTATTCAATAAAGATACAATCATTGATTAATATTCATAGTCAGTAAAATAGAATTATAAATGTTTATCCCTCTAACACACACACTCACACTCTCACTCTTTAGGAAAAGAGGAACAAAAACAGATTTCTCTGCAGACCATAAGGTACAGAAGCAGATTTAGACCCATCAACCCATCGAATCTGCTCTACCATTTGATCATGGCTGATATGCTTCTGAAAGATAGGTTTTGCAAACATAAACCTCCTTGGCCAATGGGTTATTCTTGAAGGTAAAAGGTTAAAGCACAGAATGTTCGAGAGTCTGCTTCTCTGATGTTCTGCCAGTAACCACGCATGGTTATCTTTGAAATCTTGACAACACCATTTGCTGTGGAATCATGAGATCTCCTTTCAATCACTATTTCAAAACTAACAAATAGGTTTCACCCTAAACTCAACAACAGGGTTCTTCTGTTCAGAAATGGGAGTGACCAGCTGGGCAGCTCATTCTTAGTAGGCTTTTCTCTGGCTCACCTTGTCCTTAGCAGGCTTTGGTCCAACTGAACTGAATAAGACAAGAATATCTTCAAGCCAGGCACTGTTCAAGCTGCCCCATCAGGGGTATGCAGAAAAGCAAGCAGTTATCACCCATCATGTGATTTCCCTGAAGTGTTTTTCTTTAAATTTCCAATGGCTACGGTGAACTTTCAATGACCTATTTTAAAGAAACCATTTCAGGTATGTCCACAAATAAATCAATTTTCCACAATCCTTCAAAACTTAAATATAAAGCATCTTTGATAAGAACAGGGAATTTTCAATGGGATAATGGAATTCATGGATGATGTAACTGATCACATGACTCTGACATCAGTAAGAGAGAATCCTGAATATTCCTTGACATTCAGGGTTCTCTAGGCTTGTTGTTCCTACTTATCACTTTAAAGTGAACATAGTGGCTCTGTACTCTACCCAATTCCTGATTAAATACTTTTCAGCTGTGAATCTTCTCTCAAGTAGCTGTTCACAGTCTACTTTAACCAGATCCAGCTTTATTTTAATAAAATCTGACTTCTCCCAATCTAAAACACATTTTTATGCAGACCATCTTTTTCCCATTCCGTAACAAGCTTAAATTGTATGGTGTTCTGGTCATTATTCCTAAAATGCTCCTCTATTGTCACCTCAAACATCTATCCAACTTTGTTCCCCAGAATTAGGTGCAGCACTGTACCATCCCTTATTGGACCATTTACATCTTGATAGCGAAATCTCTCCTGGATACATTTCATGAACTCTGCCCCCTCTAAATCCTTTACACTATGACTATCCCAATTAATGTTGGAGACATTGAAATCCACAAATATAATTACCCTATTATTATAGATCTCAGTAAATTCTTTACATATCCACTCCTCTATTTCCCATTGACTGGGGGCCTATAATATGCTCCCAGTGATGTGACTGCCTGCTCTTTATTCCTCAGCTCAACCCACAAAGTCTTATTTGGAGATCCTTCCAAGATATCGTCCCTCCTCATTACAGTAAACGACTTCTGAATTAATAATGCAACAGCACCACCTCTTTCTCACCCTTCCCTGTCCTGCCTGATCCTGAGTTGTAAGTCCTGACCCTCGCTTATCCATGTCTGTGGTGGCAACAATATCACAATTCTATGTGTAAGTCTACTCCCTTAACCCATCTGTCTTACCTCGAATACTCCCACCATTAACGTAGAGGCCATCCAGCCTTGCCGTACTCCCCTGAATCTCAACATGATGAAGCGGTTGAAGATGGTTGAGTTCAGGAAACTATCTTGAGGAACTCCTGCAGAGCTGTCCTGCAGCTGAGATGAGTGCCAACAGCCATAACCATCTTCCTATGTGCCAAGTCTGACTCCAAACAGCGGAGGGTTTTCCTTCTGATTCCCATTGATTCCAGTTATGCTAGGGCTCCTTGATGCCACACTCCATCAAATGTGACCTGGATGTCCATAAGATATACGAGAGCAGAATTAGGCCATTCGGCCTATCAAGACTGATCTGCCTTTTGATCATGGTTGATACGTTTCTCAACCCCATTCACTTGTTTTCTGCCTGTAACCCTTGATCCCCTTACCAATCAAGAACCTATCTATATCTCTGTCTTAAATACACTCATAGACTCCACCGCCTTCTGCAGCAACGAGTTCCACAGATTCACCACGCTCTGGCTGAAGAAATTCCTCCTCGTCTCAGTTCTAAAGGGTTGTCCCTTCACTCTGATACTGTGTCCATGGGTCCTAGTCTCTCGTACTGATGGAAACGTCATCTCCACGTTCACGCTATCCAAACCTCTCACTATTCTGTTAGTTTCAATCAGATGTTGTCAAGGGCTGTTCATCTCACCTCACCTCTTGAATTCAGCTCTTATGTCCATGTTTGAACCAAACCCGGAAAAAGGTCAGGAGCTGAGTGACCCTATTGGAACCTAAACTGGGTATCACTGAGCAGGTTATTTCGAAGCCAGTGCTGCTTTGAAAGCTGTGTTGATGACACCCTCCATCACCTTCTAGAGCTTGCTGATGTAGTCAAATAATTAGAGCAAAATCTTTCAGGAGTGAAATTAGGAAACATTTTCTCATGAAAAGTGTGGTGAAGGTTTGAAATAGCATTGATGTGAAGTGTGGCTGCAGAGCACTTGGATTGCTGAATGAAAAGACTATACAGTTTAGAAGTGAATCTGACCCCATTTTTTCTTTCATAGCATGAAGTGTGTGCCAATAGCACGAGTCCACATTCTGGCCTCTTCCCGAGCGATAACAACACTCTCAGTGTCGACATCTATAAAGGGGTAAGTGTAATCGGATACAAAATTAGCTTGACAGTAAGAGACAGAGGGTGATGGTGGAGGGCTGTTTTTCAGACTGGAGGCCTGTGACCAGCAGTGTTCCATAGGGATCGGTACTGGGTCCACTTTTGTTTGTCATTTATATAAATGATTGAGATGAAAATGTAGAAGGCATGGTTAGTAGGTTGACACATGACACCAACATTGGTGGTACAGTCGACAATGAAGAAGGTCCTCTAAGATTACGAAGAGATCTTGATCAATTGGGTAATTGGGCTAAGGAGGGGCAGATGGAGTTTAGTTTGGATAAATGTGAGGTATTGCATTTTTGTAAAACAAGCAAGGGCAGGACTTATCCAATTAATGGTAGGGCCCTGGATAGTGTTGTAGAACAGAGAGACCTAGGGGTTCAGGTGCATAATTCTTTGAAATTTGCATCACAGATAGACAAGGTGGTTAAGAAGGCGTTTAACACACTTGCCTTCATTGCTCAGACCTTTGAGAATAGTTGTTGGGACGTCATGTTGAGGTTGTCCTGGACATTGGTGAGGCCTCTTCTGGAATACTGTGAGCAGTTCTGGTCTCCCAGTTATAGAAAGGATATTATTAAATTGGAGAGGGTTCAGAAAAGATTTACCAGAATGTTGCCAGGAATGGAGGGTTTGAGTTATAAAAATAGGCTGGAACTTTTTTCTCTAGAGCATAGGAGGTTGAGGGGTGACTTTATAGAGATTTATAAAATCATGAGAGGTATAGATAAGGTGAACAGCAAAATCTTTTCCCTAAAGTGGGGAAGTTCAAAACTAGGGGGCATATTTTTAAGGTGAGAGGAGAAAGATTTAAAAAGAACATGAGGGTCAAATTTCTTTTACACAGAGAGTGGTTCGTGTGTGGAATGAACTGCCAGAGGAAGTTGTTATGGACCAGACCAGACTCCCTCAAAATATTTTAAAAAGGTAGCCTAGCCCCTAACTTTTCTTATTTTAAAGGTAAATGTAAAGTGCGTGTTCCAGATGTGATGAGACTGGTCAACCTACTTGACGTTAAGCAAAACACAATCTATTTAATCTGCTCCCAGGATGAGGCATTCCACTCCCGTACATCTCAGTTGTCCTCATTTTTCAAGGACCGTAACTTCCCCTCCTCGGTGGTCGAGAACGCCCTCAACCGTGTCTCCCACATCTCCCGCACCTCATCCCTCACACCCCGTCCATGCAATAAGAACCAAAAAAGAATCCCCCTCGTCCTCACGTACCACCCCACCAACCTCCGGATCCAACGCATCATCCTCCGACACTTCCGCCATCTGCAATCCGACCCCACCACCAAAGACATCTTTCCCTCCCCACCCTTATCTGCTTTCCGGAGGGACAACTCTCTCCGTGACTCCCTTGTCCGCTCCACACTCCCCTCCAGCTCCACCACACCCGGCACTTTTCCCTGCAACCGCAGGAAGTGCTACACCTGCCCCCATACCTCCTCCCTCACCCCCATCCCAGGCCCCAAGAAGACTTTCCACATCAAGCAGATGTTCACCTGCACATCTGCCAATGTGGTATACTGCATCC